TTACTTACGTTACTTACTTACTTACTTACTTACTTACTTACTTACTTACTTACTTACTTACTTACTTACTTACTTACTTACTTACTTACTTACTTACTTACTTACTTACTTACTTACTTACTTACTTACTTACTTACTTACTTACTTACTTACTTACTTACTTACTACTTGCTACTACTACTATATATATATATATATATATATCCATCCATTCTTCCATCCATCTATCTATCTATGTGTCTTCCCTCTCTAAGGGTCTCTCCCTATTTCTCTTCCCTCCTCTCATGGCCTCGCATGCTTTCTTTCTACCATCTCTATTCTTTTCTCCCCCTTCCTATTCCCTTCTTCCCATCTTCTTAAAATATTATTTTGCACAATTTTCTTCCACTATCTCATCTTCATCTACATCTTTTTTTTTCAGATCGTCCACTACGTTTTTCTTCTGGGTGATGCCCTCATTTCTAAAATAACTAGTAGATAGTCGATTCTTACGACGTAGTAGTCGTTGCAGTGTGATGAAGCTTGGACTAATAGCGCACTGTGTTCGTGGACTCTCCCAAGTACGGTTGCCGTTTATGGTTGGCCGTCGTACTCAGAAATTATGATGGCCATATTACCCTATCAGAGGGCTTGTTACACATAATTTAACCACGTTAAAAATAATTCAAGCGCAGTAGAAATAATTTAAATGCGGTTAAATTATTTTTACCGTGGTTCAATTATGTGCAACTAGGTCTCTGATTGGGTAAAGAGGTCATAATTTAACCGTGGTGAAAATAATTATTTTTGAGTTCGATGGCCAACCATAGTCGTTTGTCGTTGTAGCGTGATGGAGGGTGCCACGGGCAGCCACCACTACATGAACCCAGACTCGCGCGTGTGCCAGGTGTGCGGCCAGTTCCACGAGCAGCACGGACCGCACCTTTACGACTATCACGAGTCCGTCGATGAAGATCTCGTCTGCCACATCTGCCTGCAGGTGACAAGCGAGGCAGTCGCCTCCTCTCCTGCTCTCCTACTTGCTCTTACTATCTCTCAATAATATGCACAAAGATACCTCATACCTTTCGACGTGTCGAGTTCTCTCTCGTTCACCCCTTTCTTACTCTTCTCTCTCTCACTCTCTTCGCTTTCTCTCTCTTGCGCGCTCCTCTGATCCACGATTAATTACCACGTAGCTAATTAGTGTACGCAGCTATGGCCACGAGATGTGAGCGACAGTAGTACGTAGTTCATGAATCTGTGAGTACAGTCAGTTTTGCGGCGTGGAGAGTATTTCTAGAGAGATTAGAGTTCCTCTTCAAGAAGTATCATCAACTCAGGATGCATCCTTCAACTCTAGATAACAAGTTTCTGAAAACCTTGCCAGATCTTGAGGCAGGTTTATTCTAGGCAGCAAGTTAGTTCTAAGGTTTGCAGTTTCATCCATGTACGATGCAGATTTTATCCTCATATCTGGTCATTTCAGCCTCTGGTCAGCCCACTGGACACAAAGTGTGGCCACACGTTCTGCGGCCGCTGCATCAAGAACTACTTGAGCATGAACGATGCATGTCCAGTTGATCGGTCACCTCTGTCCAGTAGTCAACTGATGCTTGCAACTCACATGGTCAGACGGTAATTCACCTTTCAGTGATATTCTTGATTAAATTTATATCATTTGTCAATCTTCACTATGCTGTGCCCCACTATAAACATTATTATGTTAAGAAATCGTGCAGTAATGCACCTGAAGAAATACCCCGTCCCAAAGGTATATATGGTATACATACTACAAGTATTACATACCTAATTATGTCTGGGAAAAAAACATATATGTATGTAAAAGGTTTTTACATGTGATGCATGTAATTATTATTGCTGTGACACGATTGTAGATGAAAATAAATTTCGCTGGCACACGGGGCATATCAAATCAAACATTAAATTGTTAAGAGGCATGATAGCCTACTTGTGCATCTACGTGCTGTGAGAGTAGTGTCTACTCTTATCAGAAGTTTAAATTCTACTGATATGATACGATCAGTTTGTTTACTAGGCCATTTATTCATTGGCTCACAAAAAATGATTCGATATGAGAAATACCTATTGTCGTGTACGCGGTGAAAATCCCGTTTACGTTAGAGACATCCTCTTTCATTTTGAATTCCCTCCATCCGCGTGGGGATTAAGCACTCGATCTGAGAGCAAGGAGCGATGAAGTCACGGACCTTTCTTCTGCAAGGCCAGTGCCTATGTTCCGTCTTTACGGCCATCAAGTACACGGCCAAACAACTGAAGTTTTAAAAGCTTTCACACGTAATGCAACGTGGGAAAACATTGCGGCCAGGGACGAGTCGTAAAATCGAGTTTCTCTAAAAGTGTTGATGCACGTTGCTGCTTGCGTGTATACGTACGTACGAAGGTAGGCGGGTAATCTGCAGAGGGGCTGTGATATTTCACTACGTTGGTCGTAAGGCAGCTCCTCGTGTGTTGTAAAGTGGTGTTTATACCCTCGTAATCGCTACGCTGTTAGAAGCCAAAATTTGGCTTCATATGGGTTATATCATTCACAAGTGCAATTCAGCACAAGTGCAATTCAGCACAAGTGCAATACAAGTTTTCTGTGACGTAACAGGTAACATGCGTGTACATGTATGTAATGATGTATGTAATGCATGAACGTGACTCCTAGAGTCCTACAGCGATACAAGAGCTTGTTTGTACACATAATCCAACACATAATTGTACACATAACAATCCAAATATCCAAATATCCTTGGGCACGTGTGCACGGACGTTACATCGGATGACTTAACAAAACGTGGTAGAATTCAACTCGGCTGTGCACGCACGACAATGAGGTATCTGGTAGCATTTAATCCACGTAACTTGGGTACATACACATCACCCATGTATCCATATATCCAATGAAACCCAAGTATATATTCGGGTAACATTTATCCTGGCCGTGTTCATACCGTAAAATGTTACACGCGTATGCACGAAAATATTAATTGTGTGTTATTTTATTATTAGTATAGTGAGAGTAACAAGAGTGTATAACATAGAGATTTTTATATTATACACCCCTGATACAGACACGTGTTAGTCGTGTGATCATGCATTTATATATAGGGTGCTCGTACGTACATTCCCGCAGTTAATACTATGAATACGTATAATATATATATATATATATATATATATATATATATATATATACGATGTAACAATAATATACTATGAAATGCGTGAATCAACTCCCACACATAGGCAGTGGCCCGTCGTACGAAACTTGATAAAACTGATAAACTTGCATAAAGAGTTAATACTTGTTAGGGTTGGGAGGTGATTTTGGTCGAAATATTCATATACCCACTTTATTTGATAGATCGCACCCATGGGCAGCTATGTATACGTAGAAATTATCAGGAGGTATAATGACGAGCGTATATTAATGTCATTTAATACGCTCCTGAAATTATGTATGTAGCCTCCCAGTTTCAAATCCCCGCATAAGTCAATTCTTAACACAGGTGTTCAATAATGGGAAAATCTAGAAAAGTATCACAATCTGTACACAATCCAAATATCCAAATATCCTATGGGCATCGTGTGCACGGACGTTTACACCGGATGACTTAACAAAACGTGGTAAAATTCAACTCGGCTGTGCACGCACAACAATGAGGTATCTCGGTAGCATTTAATCCACGTAACTTGGGTACATACACATCAACCCATGTATCCATAATATCCAATGAAACCCAAGTATATATTCGGAGTAACATTTATCCTGGCCGTTGTTCATACCGTAAAAAAGAACAGCGCGTATGCCACCAAAATATTAATATGTGTATATATTTCTCATTTATTAGTTAATAGTTGAGTAGTAACTAAGGAGTGTATAACTAGAGATCTTTATATTATACACCCCTATACCCAGACACGTTGGTTACGTTGGTGATCATCATTTTATATTATAGCGGTGCTCGTACGTACATTCCCGCAGTTTAATACTATGAAACGTATAAATATATAATTATATATATATCACTAATAATATATATATATATATATATACTATATTATAATGTATACATAATAACTATTGAAATGACCGTGATCAACTCTCCACACATCAGTCCAGTGCGCCCGTCGTACGAACTTGATAAACGATAAAAGGTTAAATAACTGTATAGGGTTGGGTAGTGGATTTTTTTCGCGTTCGAAATTTCAATATCCCTACTTTACTTGATATAGCATCGCACCCATGGGCAGCTCTATGATATAGTAGAAATTATGTATGTAGCGCTGTCCAAACAGTTTCCAAAGTCCCCGACATAGCTCAATGTCCTTAACAACAGGCGGATTCAATAATGGAATCTAGAAAAGTGCTAAATAGCGCTCGTTCACACGAGACCATCGTATTTAATGAATACTCGGATTCGCGTCCGAAGCGAGCGTTCACACGCTGATTTCGCGGCCTCCAGATAAATACGGTTTTTGCAAGCTGACGAGCTTCTATAGAACAATACAAGGCGAACAATGCGAATAATACAATGCAAAATGCGCACCAACTGGCCAATAAAATAACGTAGATGGTCCGCGCTCGACATTCATACTCGCGTTACATCAATAGAACTGTCGAGCGGCAGGACCAGTCTATAAAGAAATACGCGGCTTTCAGAAATCCGGTATTTTAGCGTTCACAACAGAGGAAATGCGCGTCCAAGCAAATCCTCGGGGTCTGGGAAGCCTCGTATTTACATGAAATACCGGATCTGTTTAAATACCGTATTTCTTGGGCCTCGTATTTTGCCTCGTGTGAACGCTAAATACCGGATTTCTTGCTACGTGTGAACGCGGCTTATATCTCCATTGTTAGAAATGCTGAAGTTTGAGCTATTTCTCGAAAGTCACAACTCCGATTCCAAAATTTTTTGTTACGTTTCAATGCTAACATATCAAAAGGGTCCTTGGAATTTTTTTAAAATATTATATTTTATAAGTTATGGCGCTTTGTTTACGAAATTGTTGCGTTTTGAAAATCACTACAAATTTTCCTACATCTTTTCAACTTATTTCCTAAATTAAAGCATTAAAAAAAAAATTCAGGGAGCCTTTTTTAGTTCATATTATATACAACTTATGGTTAAAAGTTTAGGCCCCAACTCTGCTGTTTCTGAGAAATAATAATAAAGGAATATTTTTGGCATAAATTCACAATTTTTGCTGTCATTCAACTAGCAATGAATTTAAAAAAAAAATTCATCGAGAGCATAGTGAGACATCTCTCTTATGTAATGGATATGAGTTTGATTGAATTTGATGAGCAGTTATGTTGCAATGCCCTTTAGTGTGTTACCCGTCCGTAACCCTAACAGGACTACTTTTGTGTCTCATATAGCGGGCCCCTAGTGCTTGTTTGCACACCATCACAGGTAGTAACCCGCACGCACCGGGTGAATTCCCACCAATAGTAAATTATGCAAGTTTGCAAAGCACAGGGAGAGATCTCTCATTCTCAGTGAGGGGTATTGGTCGAGGAGGAGGAGATAGAGTTACCGCGGGCAAGAATCATCTCACACGACGAAACATCATAACAAAGTCCGGTTTACTCACTCTATCTCTCGTGTCTAAGCGCACAGTGTGGGCCCTTCCCTCACCTAGTGAGTGCAGCTGTGCTGTGCTGAGCGATGCTTTTTAACACGTATCACTAAAAATATATGGAAACATTTACGGAGCATGTTTGTTTGGCTGCGTATTCTGATTGCTGTCAGACCAGGAGCCCGTCAGTCATGACTCAGTGCGGACCGACTAGCTGGGTTTACACTGCCGACTTTGTGTCAGCGAATTGGCGAATTGGGCCAACTTTTAAACTATACAACTGACAATCGGCAGTGTAAATGCAAAAGTTGTGCGACCAACCGATCGATAGCAACTAGTTGGGAGATTAGAACATTTTCCATTTTCGTTAACTCGGAGTTGCCGAATTGCAAAATTCGTCCAACTCGCCAATTCGCCAAGATAAAGTCGGTAGTGTAAACCCAGCTGTAACTTACGTTACAGAAGTTGCTGCCTCATAAATGTCATATCATATGAGCATTTCTCTTTTCTTTCATCCAATACTCACACAGCCTGGCACGTCATGTTAATTCTAAAAAACGATCGATTTTTTATTTAAAGATGTTATGCGTGCTGCAAGGTTATACGTGCCAAAATAGGTATAAACGCGTTTTCTTTTTTGATGTATTGATTTTTTATTTATTATACTGACGTGATGCCAACACGCTTCTATGACATCATGCATGACTGCATCATAATTATGTTACAATTTCTTAGATATTATATCTATTTTTGATACTATTAATATTTTTGGACATGGCTGTTTGATATCTCGTAGGAATGCATCATTACGTGGGTCTTCAATTTAGGATGAACGTGATATATTTGGTTGATTTGTACGATATATTATTATAATGCTGTAATCTCATTAAATTAAGAAGTTTGGTTACGCGCGCATGTAAAATTTATAATTGTAGAGTACAACGCAAATTATTTTCTTAAGCTGTTTCTATCATATACTTGATATACACTGCATAGTTTAAATTAATATTTTCCCGTCTTATAAGAATATATAGGTGCTTTTTTTCTTAAATCATTTGGATTTGATTTGAGATTAAGAAAAAGATTATGCGCAGGAATATGTCAAATGCCAATATAAATTCGTTAGTAATTACGGTGAGTGTGCATAATAACGCGTGCTCCCTATAGACGATGTCACGGTAGTGATGGCATTATATTGCACTTCACATTTGTGCGTGTAGACAGTTCGGGCGGAATGTTTAGAAATGCACGACTTCGAATGCAGGCACTCGTGGCATATAGGGATATGCTCAAGCCGCGAGCTGGCTGGGGGATGCGCAATGTGAAGCAGTCCTATAATTTAGCAATGGTGCATGCTGTACGTAGAGTAGGCGTGGGACGATTCATCGATATATCGATGTATCACGATACGAACCTTGACGACACACATATCGATACGTTTGACCATTCGCGATACACGTGTCCTAACTCTACTAACTAAAATCCCCATAATTTGGGAGCTTAGTTTCATCCAAAACCAAAAGAAACAGTTACACACAGCCACAATAACACAGTTCGCAATTCTATTGCAGTTGTTTATTAAGCGCTCCAGGATAATGATTTGCAAGCGTTCACATATACCGGGGCAGAGAGTCCCGGTTGAGTGTATAGATTGTTAGGTAGTTTCTCTTGAAGGTATCGCGACACGTATCGTATCGGCTGTATCGTGATACGGATCGTATTGTGAGCTACCCGTGTCGTCCCACCTCTAGTTCCTGCTATCGTAAGTTTTCTCGTAGCTGCGATGCGTTTCTGTCAACGCTTTTCTCGTAACATTAACATTAGTCGTAACGTGTGTTATCCTAGCTTTAACATTAGCCTCCACTTTACGATGTTTCTGAGAAAACGGGCCTCATGTTTATGTACGGTGACGTCACGCGTAGAAGGACATTGAAGCTGCAGTCTTGAGAGGATGCGGCTAACAGACTGACAGAGTCAGGGCTACCGCTGGCGTTCGCCACCTTCGCAAAATGCGATAAATAAATAACAGCGGCGATTTTACTATACTGAGTGGCGAATACAAATGGCGAATAATTTAACTGCTCATAAAATTACGTTTAAATAATGAAATCGTCAAATTTCAATGTCGTGTCATAAAACGTCTTCGTACGCCTTTTTTCCCATACCCATCACCTGTTTATGCCTTGCTTAGCACATACGATAAAGTGAACTGTATGTACGTGGCTGTGGTTTTTCACTGGTGGCTAAAAAAAACTTTGGTTGCTCAAGTCTTGGCCCAAACTTTAAAACATCCAGAGTGAGCCCTGAGTGCATGTAGTCGTGAAGCTGCGAGCAGCGATGTGGCACTGCATGTGATCCAGCTTGCATAACGTAGTCTAGCTCTAGAACTATAGCCCTTCGCTCTGCCAGAGGTGTGTGGTAGAGCGAAGCTAGGGCTATAGTTCTAGAGCTATACACGTCTTTCTGAAGGTGTGAGAATTAATGCGAGGCTTCGATCCCAGCTCGCAGAGTGGTCCTGTTACTTCGGGCTGTAATACGACGTTGGCGTCGGGTGTGTGCTGGGCTGAGATTAGGCATGTGACGCGAATGTTAACGAAAGCACGACTTGTGTGGTGTGTGGTAGAGCGGGAATAGCAGAATGGTGTGAGGCAGTAGAGGTAGTTCCAGAGTACAGGTTTCCCTACTACTTGAGGCTTTTGCAGTGAGATTCAGACGTATTCAGGAAGGTATATGCTGTCCGTATACCCCATGCTAAGTTGGGATGTGTCATGCAGAGCACATCCTGATTCCACGACCATGCTGTGGGGGATGCGAGGCTGGGATACGGTTGCTGAGGGTCGGAATGTCAGATGACGATTCTCAGGCTAGCACCTGCTAGCTTAAATTGACTACGTCACGAATTTTCCACGGTAAAATTTGTATAAAAAAAAATTGCCATTTTTTTACATTAAAAGTAAGAACTAACGTTACTAAATATATCCTCAAGCTCTCACCTGATAAAAATGTTTTTACGTTGGTTAAATTTGCAAAAATCTAGCCGATTTGGTAATTTCTGTTGTCTATAACACTATTCCCCCAGTACTGTTCAGATCCTGTTCAGATACTGGCGTCTCTCTGTTTTTCACCGGCAAATTAGTGCATATAAGGAAGGTATATAAGCATGAAAAGTAAACAGAAACACTAATTGTATTTTCATACATTTTATTTTGTACAAATAACACACAAATATACTACTTGATGGTGCTAGAAATTCGTGACGTAATCACTTTAAGTGTGCGAAGGCTCGCTGGGTAATTTTGCAGCATCTCCCCCAAGGCATCTTCCCTTCCGCAAACATTACCCCTAACGTATCCACTCTCCCAGGGTCTCCCCCTAGCGTCTCTCCCTCCCACGTTTCCCCTTCCCCAGGGTCTTCCCTTCCCTAGCACCTCCCTCTTCCCCCAACATCTCCCCCCCAACGTATGCCCTTCCCCAGGGTCTCCCCCTAGCGTCTCTCCCTCCCACGTTTCCCCTTCCCCAGGGTCTTCCCTTCCCTAGCACCTCCCTCTCCCCCCAACATCTCCCCCCCAACGTATGCCCTTCCCCAGGGTCTCCCCCTAGCGTCTATCCTTCCAACGTATCCACTCCTCC